TAAGCTTGAATTTTACTATGAGAAGCTGATGATCAGAGCCGCAATCAGCTCCAGGTCTTGTTTTTGCTGACCCTATAGAGCTTCTCAATCTTTGGCTGCAGAGAATATAATCAATTTGATTTCGATATTGCCCATCTGGTGATTTCCATGTATAGAGTTGCCTCTTGTGTTGTTGGAAAAGAGTGTTTGTGATGACCAGCTTGTTCTCTTGACAAAACTCTATTAGCCTTTGCCCTGCTTCGTTCTGAACTCCAAGACCAAACTTCCCTGTTGTTCCTTTTATCTCTTGACTTCCTACTTTAGCATTCCAGTCCCCTACTTTGTGGTACCACACCACAAATCTAAGGATGACCTGATGTCATGGCTATATGTTAAAGATAATGGAAGATGAGTGAGAATATGTTGGAGTATCAAAAGTTGGGACTTATACAATAGGGGTCCTCCACCCCCGGTCTGCGGCCTGGTGCCAGTCTGTGGCCTGGGCCGGTCCAGCCACAGAGACAGACCTCCCACCCACCCTGCATGCACTCCCGCCCCGGCACAGCCCATTTGCGTATGCACACAAGTATGTGTGCATGCACAAGTGGCTCACCACCCCTTCGTGAGTGTCCCCCAAGCACCCCTTTGCATGAGTGCGTGCCTGTGTGTGCGCGTGAGCGCGTGTCTGCTCCTTTGCACATGCGCCCCAGCGTGGCGGTATGTGCCCCGCCTTCCCTAACCAGTCCATGGACTTAAAAAGGTTGGAGACCGCTGCTATAGAAGATACCAAATATTCCCTTTTATCCATCATGGGACTTTCTTCTGATATTGGGTTGGCACCACATCCTGTCCAGGGTTGTTCTTCAATCCATATAGATGACCCAGAAAAATAACTGCATTGAAGGACATCAAGAAATTCAGTTCATGCATACTTCTACTCTGGATCACCTACAATTATGCCACTTGTCTTGTGTAAAATTGAAAGAGGAGCTAATCTAATGACAGATATTACTTTAAAATGCCAAAAACTAATCTGTTCCAGGTAATGCACTGCATTATAGCTGCTGTCTAATAGGCCTATTGAATCAGTGGGGATTCTGTGGGTCTATTCTGTAAGTGTCACTAATTTAGTGGGCCTACTGTAGTTGCAACTTACTACACTAAGCAACAGGATTTAAGTCAGTATGTAAGTTTGTCACACAGATAATGAAGGTAACTAGATGTATGGGAGATATGTTGCAACACTCCTTCTAATTGATGATAGTTCTCCCAACAGATTATCTCTCCAACTGCTTTATTTTTGGCTGCAAAAGTGGAAGAACAGCCACGAAAGCTCGAACATGTTATCAAAGTAGCACATGCCTGCCTTCATCCTCAGGAGCCACAGCTGGACACAAAGAGTGATGTATGTATCCATAAGTCTAATCTTCATTTAGTCTTTTAAAACACAAATCATATGTTAAAATTGGGGGGAAAGCCATGTTGTTCCCAAGCCAGAGATCTCCAAAGTGCCTCTCAGTGCTCTCTCTCAACTCCTCCAAATTGTTGAGCTTTAAAAGTCTGTTCGTGTCCTCTGTCTGTGGAAAGCAATTTTGTCATGTTTGTCTGTTCGTGTCCTCTGTGTCTGTGGAAAGCAATTTTGTCATGTTTGGAGTGCCCACACACACATCGGAAAACATTTTTAAAATACAGTATAATTTTGGGCTGCTTGAAGGTTCAAGATCACCTGTCCTTCCTTTGAAACAATTGCCAGTTTAATCTTTTGTTAGGTCCTCATGCACTTTATGTGAGCTGTGTTTTCTCTTAATGTTCTTAATGTTTGATTGCATGTTTTAAATAACTAGGTGATACACTTTTGTTTTCTGTTGACACGTTATTAAAGGCTGAATTACTAGCATTGCAAAATTGCTCTTGCTTCCTGTTACATGTTTGATTGCATGTTTTAAATAACTAGGTGATACACTTTTGTTTTCTGTTGACACGTTATTAAAGAATGTTATCAAAAACCTGCCATAATAATTGAGTCCAAACCAACTTTCATTAATGGCTTTCTTATTTAGAAGTCTCCCCCCCCCCAAGAACTTGGATTCTTTTCTGTTCCATCAGCAAGCCATTATACACATTTTTCCTGTTATTTTCTACTACTACTTTCACAGTATGCTTATTTCACATAAATACTGGGATAGTTTATCTTGTTCCATCAGCAAGCCATTATACACATTATTTTTTTCCTGTTATTTTCTACTACTACTTTGACAGTATGCTTATTTCACATAAATACTGGGATAGTATATCTGTGGTGAAATCAGAAGCCTGTAGGGATTTGTGTGTTCTTCTGCCTTTCTGTTTGCCCTTTGCTGTGAAAACAGATATCTTTGTTTATTTGAGTTGTAGGAAATCCATATTGATTTTAACCCTTTGGAGTTAAACATTCATAGTTGGAATAGATTCAAATTGTGATGAAGGGTATTGTCCTCATGTCTTGCTTTTGCGTGAGTAGAGCAGAAGAAATTTAGGGAAGAACTGAGCAGGCACATGAAGCACTCATTATCTCACTGAATGTAGAGATGAAATTGGAAAATAACTTCTAATTATGGTTTGTGCTCAGGTGAAAGTTACTGTGATGAGGGACCATTAAAGAGTTCTATATTTTTAGTGGCAGTTCTGTAATAGGCAAAAATTGGACAGCTGGATAATATCTATCTCATTTTCTGTCACTGAAGTTTGTAGCTTCTTTTTGTCGTTATGATGTTTCCATCAAATAAATGTTGATAACCAGTGAATTTATTTGGAGTATCTTTTTGTATAATTCACTTATTAAATTGTTTTGTTGATGTTTGTCACTTTTTCTTCACTTTCAGGCATACCTTCAGCAGGCCCAAGAGCTGGTTATACTTGAAACTATAATGCTTCAAACTTTAGGTAAATGTAGTATATCCATGTTCTTTAAGCTTTTGCATAACCAGATGTATTTTTGTATTAGAATGCCCTTTACATTTACCACTATAGTGGGGTCAAACACCTATCTGGTTTTCATTATAACTATATTCTGGTAGAAATCCTGGTAAGCTATGACCTTATACTTACAGTGTGTTAAAACCTTTTCTTATAAAGAGTTATTTTTACATATCACACATTTGCAATAATAATTATAACTAATGAGCAGTATAAGATCTGCTGTACATGACATTTTTAACAAACATTGCTTAAAATTATTCTAATTATAGTGAGATTACTGAACAGGGAATTAGAAAATATGAGAAACGAGAGGCTTATAAAGTTACATATGTAGTATATAGTTTGTGAAAATAACACATAACACATTTAATTTTCAGGTTTTGAGATTACCATTGAGCATCCACACACAGATGTTGTGAAATGTACGCAGTTAGTGAGAGGTCAGTAACAGCTTCACTGATTCTTTTCCTACATCTCTGTAAGAAGGTGATGGGGTGACTTAATAAAACTGTTTCTGGAATATTACTTCTACTGTGAGTAAAACAGACACATATCATACTAGGCTTTGACTTTTCCTTGTTTTTTTAAAAGCTATGTTCCCTAGATGAAAAGTTGCAGATTATTCAATTCTTAGATTTTTTTTTCTGAACCTAGAATAAGAGTTGGCTTTATGGGTACTTATACTGCATGTCATCTCAGCAGAGGTAGTTAGAGCAGTTGTGTATAAATTCTCTTCCAAGACAAAGCTCAGAGAATAATGTCGATATACAGAGGAAGTTGAGTAAAAGACCCTGAATAAGAATACTTTATCTACTTAGTTTTTAACAGGCTTTTTCTTGGTCCATTATTATCTTTCTTGGCTCTCTAATTCTGCATATTTTAAACAATTTGAATAGAATTTGCTGATTTCTAGTCTTTATATTGCTTTCACACTGAACTATGTGCCAAAATCCTTACAAGACCTTCTTTGATCATATTTGAAATAATATCACTTTCAGAGAAATAGTAATAGTGACTTTATGGAGACCCCTTTTGAGGTAACTGTTCTAAGGTAGAATAGACTAACAATATTGAACTGTTTTGTAATGGCTTTTGTGTTGATTTCTCAGACTTCCTGAATGGTCATGAGTAAATTTGTGGGAACAATAGCCATTCTTAGAGGTAAAATCAATGTGAAATGCCACATTTCTTTAATGAGAAATGTGGTATGGGGTTAAGGCTTGTAACAGATATGTTATGTGTTTCTGGCTATTGGTATTTCTATAGTAGAGAAGTGAACGCATCTTAGGCAGCCAATTTGTTTGAATCCTCCAGACTAAAAAATTTAATGGTCCATTCAATGGCAAGAAGGCAAACCTATTAAAGTAACTGTTCATATACACAGATAGCTTTAAAGATAACTACTTTTATTTATAACTACTTTTATTTACAACATTATTTTTTTAGAAGCCCACAAGAAAAAAATTTATCTGCTTTCTTGCTTTCACATACATGGATTTACAGAAACATTTAAAGTTGTTTCAGATATTTAAAAGTACAAACAACAAAAACGGTGTTATTCTGCAGAATTTTGTTCTGTGCTTTTAAAAAAAAATTCTGGCACCTATCAGCACAGATTCTGGACATCTGCTAGGGTCACATTAAAGGAAGGTAAAGCCGGGTGTCATCTGCATATTAGTGGCACTTTAGGCCAAGTCTACTTTTTGGCCCATTAACTAATATAGATTTCCAGCAGCATAAGGAGAGTAAAATACTATGGAAACTCAAAGCTTGATTAGGAAAAAGCTCAGGGAATAATTCCCCCACATCCTTTTGGAAAAAAACCCATTCATGTAGGACAGAACCTTTGCCAAGCAATGTCTCAGCCCTGACAGTCTATCCACACAGATAACATGCTTGATAAGGGAGCATGTTCTTGATTAGAGATAGGGGCTTCATATTCATAGATGAATACGAAGCACACTGGGACAGGTGGCCAGCCTGATTACTTCCCACCCCAGAATCCCCCAGTCCACTTACAGCAGTACGGTGCGTATGGCAGCACCAATTGTGGGCAGTAGCCCTGCTGCTGCAGTTCCCATCTCCCTGCTTGCCCGGCAACTCCACTGAGCAGAGACATTTATCCTGCCTCCTTGTCAGAGTGGCCGGCCAAGCAGAGAGACAGGGCTGCGGCAGCTGGACTACTTCCACGATTGGCAAGCTGACGATCATGCAGGGTGCACACTGTGTTGTAAGTGGAGCGGTGGGTTCTGGAGGTGGGAAGTAATCAGGTAGGTCACCTGTGCTACTCTTGATTTTGTTATTGCAAAATGTGACTGAATTCTTGATTTGGTTTTCAATCTTGGATTTGGCAGTTGTGCTGGCAATTGAGTTCATGGGTCAAATGATCATTTGGTAAATGAAATTGTAAATTGGCATAAAGGACATCAAAAAGACAGAGTAATCTGATACTGATACTAGTTGGATATTAATGGTATCAGTAGCTTTTATAAGGTTCAGGAAAATCAAGAGAGTCTTATTCCTGTACATGACCAATCTTATTCTGGAGGATAACCAAGGCAGTTTTTGTTCCAAAATAAAAATAAAATGGATCTGGATCATTTGTTTTATCCTAAAATGATGAGTTGGTTGGCCATTCTCACAACATTATTTTACTAGTAAATTTGCTATCCTTCCGTCTCCATCTTCTAACATAAAATGGCACCACCTGATTCAGATTTTAAACTTCTGACATATTTTTTTAACAAAGTACAATACAGTCTTCCACTGTAGTAGATGTGTGGTTGCTAGGAGCAATTGTTTTTGGCAGATCTAGAAAGATATTGCACTATAGTGCCATGAAGATCTTTCCCTGTTACCTTTAAAGGATTGGCAGCACCAAAGCAAGAGGAAGATGGAAGGAAAAGCACACACTGTGATAATGTTATCCTGTATTCCTTGGTTGGTTGAATATGTAGGGATCTCCTTCTCCCTGTGCCACAACACTCCTTCCTGTTGTCATGGCGGAAGTGGTAACAGGGACCCATGGATGAAAGTGATAGGAGATCAGTTTTGCACCTTTACCCCAAGCCCTCCTTATTGACAAAGCTTCTTTAATTCTGTGTTCATAGTTAGAGGCGTGCAGATTATGGTTATGATTGACTATAAATCTTGGAATTCCTCAGACATCACAGCTCTTCTTCGGCTGTAGAAAATTCTTTTTTACACTTGTATTACTGTAAATGGTTGTAATTGTGTTTAACCAGAATGTGAGCTTTGAGTTCCTAGATAAATTCATCAGACATTTCAATTCAGTTGGCTTGAAAAATAGTAGGACAAACAGTTGTCTTTTGGTGATGATAATAAACCATTCATGATGTCTGTGTTTGGAAGTCAGTGCCATATTTTCATTTAAAAAGCAATTTGACTTGGGAAATTAACTATTGCTAATGGCTGACTTCTGTTTCTCTCTCTCTCTTACAGCAAGCAAGGATTTGGCACAGACATCCTATTTCATGGCTACCAACAGGTTGTTATCCTGAACCTCTTTGTTGCACTGTTGTAGCACACTATAGCTTCCTTTACTGCAGGGCCCCCTATCTGTGTCTAACCCTTGTTGCGACAGGAGACTGGGCTGTCTACTGTGGTGGTACCTTCCTGTTTGCAGTGCGGTGTATTGTACAAGGGCCTAATGGCACAAAGGGGTTAAATGCACGATGTGAAGTGTAGTGGTGCTTTCTGGTGACATTTTCTCGATTGTGAGTGCATAAGTCTAAAATTGGTAGCCTGAATAGCAGCTAAAGATTACAGAGAGATAAACTTAACGTAGAAACCGAGCATCTTGGTAAGTATAAAGCTGTTCCTGGTTTACCCTTGTAGTTAACAGCATTTTTTTTTCTTTGTGGCAATAAAATATTTGCATTGTTTTAGAAATTGAAATAAAAATAGTTAAGAAATTTTGTTATTTACAGTAAAATCTAGGTTATATGATATTTAGCCTTGCAGAAGCTGACTGGTTCTGTAAGATATTTGCTTAAGAAAAACCTCATATCCAACTCTTGTCCCTGGACCAGTGAGATTGGAGTTTTAAGTAAAATGGATAGGTGAAGAGGGAGATAAAAGTTTGAATGGTGGGGGTAATAAATACAGAAAATATTTGTTATGATAAGTACAACAGAAAATATGTGGATAAAGTACAGTGGTGCCTCGCTAGACGATGATAATCCGTTCCACTGAAATCGCTGTTTAGCGAAATCATTATCTAGCAAAAAGCATTTCCCTGTTAGAATGCATTGGAACCTGTTTAATGCATTCCAATGGGGAAGAATCGTCGTTGTCTAGCGAAGATCGGGCATAGGAAAGCCACTTTGCAAAGCGCCGATCAGCTGTTTACATAGCTGTCTTGCGAAGCTTAGGTCCCAAAAACACCCGTTTTGCGAGTGCGCAGGGAGCTGTCAAAATCGTTGTCTAGCGAAAATCGGTTTGTGAAGCAGGGACCAAACATTGTCCAGCGAAATTCTCCCATAGGAATCACTGTTTTACAAATCACTATAGCGATCGCAAAAAGTCAATGTCTAGCGAAAAAACTGTCATGCAGGGTAACTGTCTGGCGAGGCACCACTGTAATCCAGTAATTTTGTGACTAGAAAAGGTAAAGCTTAATGGATACTCTAGCAAAAAAATTATCTTAAAGGCAAACACAAAAATGAAAGGCAAAAGGGTGGGCAGCAGTAGATTGGCTCTACAAACCAAAGCTCGAAATGGGAGGTTAGAGGCAAGGTAGATTCTTACAAATAAAGAAAAAACAAAGATACACTAGAATATTAGAGAGGATTCAAGGATCTGGTGCAGGGACAATCTGAAGGAAAAGCTGAGTAGAGGGCTGTGATAGATTATATGTAATGACTAAAGGAACTGGTTTTATAGTTAGAGAAGGGAGGAAAGGGTGACTCTTGGAAATGCAGAGGCAGAGTCATCTGTGGGGGATTAAGGAAGAGGCAGAGATGGGAGATAACTGCTCTATATTGTTGAGGAGGCTGGGTGAATAGAGGAAGAGTTACAGTATGTGCTGCATTATTCTGACTTCTAGTTTCACCATAACAGATCATGATGTGGAGAAAATGGATAAAAGCAAATTATTTTAAGTGGATATTTAATGTATATTATTATCTATTTAATTTATACCCCGCCGATCTGGTCGTTTTATGCATACATAAACAGTATTTGAAAGAGATGAGATTTATTTTCTTTCTATTTTTTTCCATTACATGTTGTTTCAAATAATATTTAAACTGAAGCATATGTGACAAGATAGTAAAATCTGTAAAGAAAAGTTTATTTTTGCAGAAGCCTTTTAATCTGTAGATGCTAATTCTTTTGGTGCTTAAATGTTGAGTCATATATACTAAAGGCCAACCAGAATATTGTAGTTCTGTTTGGTCATTGGAAGAGCTAAATTCTAGATGATGTGACTACGTTTCATTATCTATTGAGAAAGACTCCATAAAGGAATGCAGTTGAAACATTTTTACAGCTGATACTTGTCTTGATTAGCGTCTTGATCAATGTTCTCCTTTTTTCTTTCTTTCTTTTTCATGTTTGGTGTTCTTTCATTATGAAACATGTCTGACCACAGTCTGCACCTTACTACATTTTGTCTTCAGTACAAACCAACGGTAATAGCATGTGTGTGTATACATTTGGCTTGCAAGTGGTCCAACTGGGAGATCCCTGTCTCAACAGATGGAAAACATTGGTGGGAATATGTAGATCCTTCTGTGACTTTGGAATTACTGGATGGTAAGTAATGTCAACTTTCCTTTTTCTCTTTAAACATGCTTAATTGTTTTGTTTCTGTACTTAACCTTTAATCAGGGCGTATTATTAACAAGAAGGGCACTAATTTGGCAATTTCCGGTTACCTTCAGATTCTGGCAATCTGTACTTTTAATGTTTTGCATGTCAATATGTAATAGTTGTCTTAACTATGGTTTTTCTGTTCTCAAATGTTATGGTTTTGTTTTAACTGCTTTTTAGTGTTTTATTCTCACAGTCTACATTTTTATTGTTCTAAGCCACATGGAATATTTTCCATTTTCATTAGAATTAATATATAAACTTGCACTGTTTTTTCAAGTTTCATATAAGCAGTGATTTAGAAGACTTCTTTGGAACATTTATAAAGAAAAAAAAGCATTCTGTTTATATGCTACCCATAGCACTTAAAGCACTTCCCATGTGGTTTACAATTTAATTCTGCAGGCTACACATTTCTCTCTCTCACACACACACGCACGCTGGGTACTCAGTTTACCTACTTTGGTAGGATGGAACCCTGAGCTGGCTACCTGGGATTGAACCCCTGGTTGTGAGCAGAGTTTTGGCTGCAGTGCAGCAGTTTAACCACTGTGCCAAGATTATTGGTTCAGTAGATAGCCAGATTCTGCATAAAACATGATTGAAAACAGTATTTTAGCTACTTATTCAATTGTGTTTAGTGTAATTTTGTTTACCTTCACAGAACTAACACATGAATTTCTTCAGATATTGGAGAAAACTCCCAGTAGGCTAAAGAGGATTCGGAATTGGAGGGTAAGAATATTGTGGTTAAGAAAATGTTTACAACAGTGTTATTACATAGCCATCTGTTTCCTGGTTTCTTGAATGTTGGCATCCTGTTGTAGGTTACTTATTAAAATGAATTATGTGTTCCACTAGCATCTTATACTATGGACAATATTTTTGTGTAACATTTATTCTTTGAATAAGGGTCGACCACAGTAAAGAGAGCACTTGATTAATGTTGTGGTATTTTACCTGGCCTATATCTTTTAAGAAGTCCAGCAATAATAGATTGGAGCTAATTATATGGATCTAGCATAAATAATTTATTGTAGTAGATAGAGCCAATGTAGTGTAGTGAATTAAATGTCAGACTGAGATGTGAGAGATTTGGGCTCAAATCACTGCTCCAGCCATGGAAACTCACTGAGGGATAGCAGTGGTAAATAAGAATGTGATCTTACAGTGGCTGGTACAAAAATATTTTCCCTGTTTTCCCAAACTGTCTCTCATACTGTGCCAGAAGGGTATCCAACCCCCACCCCAGCTGTTGGGAGCAGATCCTTTGCCCCCCACACACACACACATGAGGAAGGAGAAAGCAGAAATAATATCCCATTACTCCAGCCAAAATGTATCTCAGTGCCATAGGATCTCTAGATCTGAGCCATTGTTCAAAATGAACTAGGCAGTCTTCTCACATGAAGAAGCTTTGACTATGAGTTTTTCATCAAGATTTACTAGGTTGGATGCAGAGTTTGGTGTAATTGAGTTCTGCTTGCACTGAGGGAGAGGGTGTTTAGCAGTACAGTACTTCCTTTCTGTTGTGCATCCCTCTGTGCTCTTTCTATGGAGCCATTTGAGAGGCAGTCCACAATGCTTCAGGGGGAAGGGAAAATCAATACTATTTCCTGGTTTCTGTCGTGAGAGACCTCTGCTAGATCTGTTATTTCAATTAGTGGAATGGTCAGTCTGGACTGAATCCACTGTTCAAAGCAAAGGTGCTTACTGTTGTGTTTTCTTTTGAAATATATTGGCTTTAGGTCTTCCACTGTACTTGTAGACTGTACACGTCAGAATATATCCCAACTATACTCATTTGTTCTTGTACAGGCTAATCAGGCTGCTAAGAAACCTAAAGGAGATGGACAGGCATCCGAGAATTCTCTTCTTGGCTCGTCTTTGGTTCAGAATTCCATTTTAGTAGATGCTGTTGCTGGTGTGTCTGCAAGTGCAAATTTCCAAAAACAGTCAACATCTTCATTTCCTGCCCCAGTTCCTCTGAACTCAGGAAGTATTTCTGTTCAGGACAGTCAAGAAAATCTGGCAATACTAGCTGCTGGAATGCCGGGTACATCTTACACTTTGTCAGCGCACCAAGAATGGCCTCAACACCAAGAACAAACAAGGACAGAACAGATATATTCTCAAAAACAGGAGACTTCGATGCCTGGTGGTCAGTTCAGTGTAAGCTTTCAACCTGGCACCTCAGTGCAGTTGCATTCGGGGTTACATCACAGAGCTGACAAACTCTCTGAGCATCCTGCGGCCCACAAACCAGGAAGCAAACATCATGCCCCTGTAATTATGCCTCAGAAAATGTCGTTGGATAAATACAGAGAGAAACGAAAACTAGAAACACTTGAACTGGATGTAAGAGAACACTACGTGGGAACAGAACAGCAATACAAAAAGCACACACAACCCCAAGCAACCAGTAGCAGTTCTGTAACATCCCCTATTAAAATGAAAATTCCCATTGCAAACGCAGAGAAACCTGAGAAACACATGCTTGACAAAAAAGAAAAGGCTGGGTCACTCAAATTGCGCATACCCATTCCACCCACAGAAAAGAATACAAGTAAAGAAGATTTGAAAATGAAAATCAAAGTCTCTTCCTCTGAGAGACATAGCTCCTCAGATGAGGGCAGTGGGAAAAGCAAACATTCTAGTCCCCATGTTAGCAAGGAAAAGCACAAGGAGCATTCCACAAACCGCCATCATGGTGCCAGTCATAAGCATTCCCATGCCCACATTGGTGGCAGTAGTAGTGGCAGCAGTAAGCATATTAGTGATGGATTAACCCCAGCTGTTCTGAGGAGTCCCGTTGGCTTGAGCAGCGATGGCAATTCATCTGGCACTTCCGGCTCTTCCAGAAAGAGGCTGTACAGCAATGATGCTTCTCACAACCATCACTCCAAAATGAGCAAAAGTTCCAAAAGTTCAGGTAGTTCATCTAGTTCTTCCTCTGTTAAGCAGTATGTATCCTCTCTCAACTCTGTTTTTAACCTTCCCTTACCCCCTCCTCCCCCTGTCACATACCAGGTGGGCTACGGACATCTCAGCACCCTTGTGAAACTGGACAAGAACCCAGTGGAGAACGGTCCTGATGCCAGTCACGAGTACAGTACAAACAGCCAGCATATGGACTACAAAGACACATTCGACATGCTGGATTCCCTGTTAAGTGCCCAAGGAATGAATATGTAATCGGTTGATGAGGTCCTTTTCTCCCCATTTTTTATTTAAAAAAATATTAGAATGGAAACCCTCATAATGTAAGAAAAGCAACCCCAGCAGTTGCCACCCTACTTTATATAGATATAGATATATAATATATGTAAGTGCTGCTTTATCCTTCACTCTGAAAAGAAGAGATATAGTAAATGAGCCTATCTCCACATATGATAGTGTTATACATACTGTAATTACATGGAAGGTGCAAAAATCACAGTATTTCCACAACCACGGCTAAGAACAGTAGATTGAATGGCTGCTTCTAGTTGCATTGAATGCCTCACACACTGATTATTTATAACTGAATATGCCAGCCACAATTTTTGTTGCTTAGTTTATGAATGAGTGTAATTTTCTTTTTGTATTTATATTGTATGTATGATTTGCATGTTTCAAAGAAGGGATATGTAAAATATGCTGACAAATGTTTACAACAAAAAAGTGGAGAGAAATGTACATACATTTTTGTATGTTTAGATATACCACAAATACTCAGGATTGGAGCTGCTTGTAAGTATAACCAATGTACCTAATCTTTTCCCCTTGTCTCAGAATTCAACAGTAACACAAAGAGAAGTGGCACTTCCATGTTAAACTGTAGGCCTTTTGCGGGGGGGGGGGGAGGGATGCCACTTTCGGACGGCAGTTCATTAACTGGGGATCATGTACCAGCTGTGGAAGAACAGTCAGCCACAGCACCGCTTCCTTCGGTGAGGCAATGTGAGAACTGTTCAGGCCTCCACTTGTGATTTTTTTTTTCCAGGACCCAGTTGATAGCTGAAATGTCAGTGGCTTTCAGAAGGGAAAAAGAAAGTATATATAATCTTTTTGATGTGAAAGTGCATTTAAATGTTTGGCTTGATGCAGTAATAGAGACACAGAACTGTTAATAATGGTTAAATAGATTAACGTGATTTAAGAACTGAGATATGTAGACTTGTATAATAAAAACTAGTTTTTTGGTTGTTTTTTTTTAAAAGAACTTAAGTTATTAGTGAACAGGGATCACTGTTTTCCATTAGCATTTCATACAGACAGCCACGTTTTGAACCCTGTCCCCACCTTCGCCCAAAGTGTGTTGTGAATGAAATGCAATTTCTTTTACAGGTGGATTACTCTTTGCAATAAATAAGTACAATTGTTGGTATCCCAATTTTCCCTTATCTCAGACAATAAAATAATTGTCACGTATGCTACGTGAATTGTACTTGTGATTGTAGTAACAAACTGGAGGTTGTTTTTCCAGATCTGAATAATCACTCTCCAATTAAACCACTAGTATACATTTTTATGGCTGTAAGTGTCATATTACTGTTTTCAGTCACCTGCCTTTTTGAACAAATGACTGTTGTGAATGTTGATGGGTTTTTGTTAAACATCAGTGTCCCATTTTTTATCGGCTCTGACCCTAAGTGCATGAAAATTACCTCAGCATAAATTCAGTATAGTAGCTAGTGTTACTTACTGGGTATTTTGTGTAAAAGAATTAAGTTAATTCTCATTTTGAGAGGGATCCGCTACTCAGTAACACCTGTTCTTGTGCAGTTTGTGCTCTACTTGGTTATAAAGATTTCAGAAGTGAGTCTGAAGTTTTGAGCTCTTTAGTTACACTAAAAGTGCTTTAGATAACTGTTGACAGTGTATCCAGTTTGTAGTTACAGTATAATGTAACTACTTATTCCTCAATTACTATGTAATATTCAGTTGCCAGTAATGCAAAACTTTGTACTACATACTTGAATACGTTTATTTGAACTATGGGTGTCTCTTTTTAACACTTGAACATGGACACTATGAATAATGTATCTTCATATTTTGATTTAGACTTTAGCCGTTCAGCCTGATTCATCCAAAACTGTTGCTATTTCACCCTTGTAATTTTCTACTTTGAAAAAATATTTCTTAAACCCTGTATTGTGAATCTTGATCCTGCGTTGTTGCATTTTTTTAGCCTTTTTAGACTTTCTTCGCTACCTCATCCATGCTTTGAAATCCTGAAGAGCTTTTGCCGTACAGTGTAAGCAAGATTAAAATGTCTTAAAATTGTGACTCCCAGTAGGAAAGAAGACCAGTAAATGTTTACTTTAAATAAAATTTATTTACAAAGCCTCACAGTATTTGCTTACAAGCCTGTAGCTTTGCCTTGGAATTTCATTTTACCCATGATTGTGAAAATACACAATGTCTTGAACAAATTTAGAACCTAATAAAATGCAGCCAGTCTTCTATATCTGCAGAGGAAAAACAAGTTTGAACAGGTTCCATTCAGGGACTTGCAACCCATACTTTTGTATTCTACAGTAAATGGCCATGAAGTTGGTTGCTGGGTTTTCAGTCTGACTTACCTCCATATACAAGATAGTATTGTTTTCTCATGTATATGCACATTTGTAATAGTGGCCCGACAGACGGGCCCATTGCCACATCCCATACTTTTCTGGCAGATCCTCCAGTGTTGAGGCAATTTTTTAAAATTTTGGATTGATTAGTATCACTGTCACTACACATACATTTCCTAATTTAGCTGTGATAGTCCCTTATAATTATTTACCATGCGATTTTTATTCTACAGCTAATCTAGATTTTAAAATCATTTTAAAAGAAGCAGTTCAGTAGAAGGTGTGAGATCATGTGTTTGGCTTAAATCTACTGCCGCACTAGTGCACCATAATGTTTTTCCATCCCAATTCATTGTCCCCAAACCTGGATTTTGTAGCCTTCCAAAGCAGGTTTGGGACTGCACAGTGGGTTACGTAGGGTTAGGGAGATAAGGGTCAATTCTGCTGACGGAACCATTTATATCAGAAGATGTTCCTCTCTGAATTCTGGCCAGAGTCAGAAAAATCAACATTACAGAAATTTCTTCTTCTATTATATTTACATATAAATGTAATTTAACAGAAGTGGAGAATTTGCCTTTAAATTTCCTACTTCTGTTAAATTCCTGAATGTTAATACTCTGGCATATTTTCCCAATGTTTCAATTACTTGAAGATATCAAGACATGTAACATCCACTATGACTGGTGCATAAATAGTCACTGCAAATGCAACGTTAACATTCATCCTTTTTATTGTTTGTTGCATAATGTGGATGGTCCTGAAACTTGTATATATCCTGTTTCAAATCATCTGAGTCCTACTATGATCTTTAATGTCTTAGCAGCAGTGATTTTTTAAAAAAAAGTTGATTTCCACAAACTATATGCCTAGCACTTTTAGATTAAATGTTCTTTATTTGAAATTATGTTTGAGTGGACAGCCATAAAAACAAGTTCTCAACTTCGTTGTAACTCAAGCTGCTCCCAACTTCTAGGTGAGAGTTCCTCATTTGATTTATAAACTGCACATTCAGTTTGGACTGAATTGTTCACTTAAACAATTAGTGTTGTTTTCAGAGGGGGAGTACATTAGTGAACTCAAGAAAATGTTTATTTAGCACAATGAAGGTGTGAAGGAAAAGTTAAAAAGTGATGTGAGAAAGATGTAAAAGTGATCGATTTTTCTGTACTTGTGTAGCATCTTTTTTGTACAAATTGTTCTGGGGCATTTTGAACATCAAAAGTGGAAGAAGTTGGACAATTTTGTGTGGAATTATGCAAACTGGAATGAAAGGTCTGTGTAGTAGTTATGAGAAAGGGGGAAGAATGAAATATTTAAATTTATGAAGCTAGATTATCTAGAATGAATATTAGAAGACGTTTAATCATTGTAAATTTCAACCATTTTCCCAAGTTGTATGATAATGTATATTACACACTTGTTGCTTTTAATTTGTAAGATCAAATCAACGCGACGGAGTGAGCTCCTGTTGCTTGTCCCAGCTCCTGCCAACCTGGCAGTTCGAAAGCATGTAAAATGCGAGTAGATAGATAGGTACCACCACGGTGGGGAGGTAACAGTGTCCTGCGTCTAGTCGCGCTGGCCACGTGACAACGGAAGCTGTCTATGGACAAATCCTGGCTTTAGGCTTGGAGACGGGGATGAGCACCGCACCCTAGAGTCAGACATGGCTGGACTAAATGTCAAGGGGAACGTTTACCTTTATGATAATATGTATCACACACTTGTTGCTTTTAATGTGTCACATCAATAAGGGCTACAACAGTGGCTGCTGAGAATAAGTGTTACGTTTCCTTGAATTCTGGCATTTAAATAGTCCTATGCTATACACATACTTGATCTTAGCCAAACAGCCAAGAAGTGATAAGTGTCCTATGCTTATGTATCTGCCTTAAGCCTCAGTACAGTTCTTGGTTTATTCCCTTTTTGTGTAACTTTACAAACTTTGATGAACTGAAGTTGACCACATAAGTTTGATAAATTTGAAGGCTCATGATTTCAATCATCTTAATGTTCTGTCATATCCTTTTCAAATGTTCTCCAGCGGTGACTCCATTTTAAGCCTGGGCAAATAATTTTGAAAGCAATAAACCAGGAAATTAATTAAGTTGTAGTTGGACATACTGTATTTATTTTGGAATGCTTCCCCCTTTCTATAAACAGCTACTGTTTCTTTTTCCTGAGACAGTAACCTTTTGATTAAGGGAGTGCTGGGATAATTACCGTTTATAACTGTCAAGTTTGCTAAGTAAGCATATGTATGCAGGTAGCTTGTAGTTCTGGTAATGTTTATTGGAACTTTTTCTGGAGAAAGAATTACCTTGATGCAACTTCCGCACTCCATTCCCCCATGCCCCTTATGCCTGTTGTCAAACAAAGACTGTAAATAGTTACCTCTCCAGAGGCTTCTGGGTGAGTGGTCATTAGTGTGCATTTTCATGATGTGGAAAACACTGAGAATTGTGGATGTGGCTCTTTGAGGTATGGGGATATTAAAAATGACCGCATCAAATGAAAATTACAAGTACTGTAGTTGCATTTTAATGAGGGAAGCTGCTACATTCAGATATATAAAAAAGTTTATTTTATACATTTGCTTCTATGTTTGGCGAGGGCATGGCTTTGTAATACCACCATTGTGAGTGTTGTTTGAAATCAGTGTGGTTATGAGAAACATTACTGACAAGCAATGAATAGTCAGGGTTGGAATATGTGGGCTTAGCATCAATTGGCCAGATTTTCCTCTTGCTTGGCATAGACTCTCCCTCCCATGTTTGAGTTCTGCACAGTTCCTGTATGTCTTCTAATTTACTACTAAAGCAGTTTGCCATTGGTGTAGAAATTGGGTTTCATTAAAAGAGATGGAAATGATCTTGAGAATTCAAGGTTTGTTCTCAAATGTGATGTAAAATTCCACATGAGGGTGGTGTGTTTGTGCATGTTTACTGCTATCTGGGATATGCATATAACCAGTGTGACACGCTTTGAAAAGGCAGCATTCTGTGACGTGTACATTGATGCTGTATGTCTTGTGCTGGAATGGAAACTCCTGTTAAGTTTAGCCTTACAGTGCTGAAGTAATAGAATAATGTAGGATTGGTCATAGGCCTTATATTACAGAAATCATATACAAGGCCAATGATGATTATAAACTTTTATGTTTTGGGCATACATGCAATGAACAACACATAATTACTAAATTAGACCAACAGTGTCTGGAAAATGCTATTAAAATCCTTTAGAGTATGGTGGATTTGAGAAGGAGGGGGATTAAGTGAAGAACTTGTTGCTAACTGTCTAATGTATGGAGTGATTTGCATGCCACACACTGTCTGAAAAGTAAAATATAAGTCAATAGGTGGAGGCACTTACAGACATTTTCTTTTCAGAGAAACTTGGATAGTTTTTGTTTTCAAGGTCTAGTTTCTGATTTTGAAGTTGGAGTCAACTCAGTCCCCCATTATCAGATCACCCTTGCCTCTGGATGTTTTTCAAGGCGTTTTATACCAAGCACACCCAGAACTATCACTTTAGTAGCTGCATTCTGTGGGCTCTGGTCTCATGGTCTGAGCCACATGACTGCTTTCTGACAGTGATGAGTGGCAGCTTCTTCACTGCAGGAAAACGTTTTATCTTGAACTCTTTTTTCCCATGAATCTTTAAAGAGCTCTTAATTCTGTTGTGTATATATGTGTGTATGGATTCAGAAAACACTCACTGCCAAATATGGGCTGTGGATTCCTTTTATACATGTTTACCAGTAGCAAACTCCAAGTCAGTCAGAGTAAAAAAGTGAAATGGCTGGAAACAAGAATGTATTTATTCTAGAATGAACATTTACTGCATATGACCACTAGTTTTAACAGTCCAGAACTGCCTAGAAACTAGCATCTAGTAACACTTTGTTTCAAAGTCAGCCTTGATCCATGGTGTTAAGAAAAACATCTTGTGTGAAAAAGCTTTAGAAATCATTTTAATGACTTCTGTGTTGAAAGGGAATATAAAAGATATTTCCATTTTATGACAATATAAAAAAACATATAATTTATTGTCAGTATCTAGTTTTCTTTCTATTAATAGTTTTTTTCACCCTAGCTGCCTTGGCACTTGTCTATCATACAAGTTGGTTCTGCCCCATGATAGCTGGTTTTCCAATCTGTCATAGTCTCCCAGATTATGCCTGCCTTTTTGTTACCATCAGCAAGTCTCAGAAAGAAACATGGTCCTATCGTAAAAAACCTTTGTAACATAAGCATTATGTCATCCTTCTCTATTAGGTTCTCTGTCATTTAAGTATAATTTTAAAATAAGTTTGAGCATTGTCCATAGATACAAACTAGATATAGGTGTAAATTAAGGACCATACTGTAGTTTTCTTGGAGAATGCTAAACCATTTTTCTCCTAGATTCGAACTATAGTACAGAATGGAAAGTACTATCACATTCTGTTCTGGTCCTAGATTTCCTTGTAGAAAATAAAGCAGTTGCCAACAGCTACTGAGTAACCAGTGTTGTGAGTACTGGGAAATGCCCAGCAATGACCAGATTCCTGCACTACAACAATTGTATTACACATTTCAAATATAAATGAACTACTTGAATACATGTAGTGAAGTTTTTAATTTACACACTGAGAATGGCAGTGTCACACCATATCCCCTATCTGAATTGATCCAATCTACTCAGGAATGCAAAGCATTAGTATTGCTTTTCACTATCGTGATTTTCTGAAAAATGGAATGAGATTTTGTTGTCCTGATACATTAGACTGA